TTTAGTTCCTCCAAAGAAAATAAAAAGGCGAGAGCAGTAACCGTACAAAGTAAAGCTTAGGGACTCTAAACCTTAAATCTCTTAGACCATTTTGAAGGTCCAGACCTATATATGGTTCCGATGAATCAAATCTGATGAGCAATTGTAAGTGATCTCATTGTCTCAAAAAATAATCTTTTTAATAAAATTGTGATATTTTATCTATGTTAGAAATTTTAAATGCTATAAATTCTTAGAAATAAATTTATTTTTCTTGTTTATTATTAGAGAATTTTAGATACTGTAAAATTAGTAGAAATAAATGTGATATTTCTGCTTTTAGTAAAATTGTGAGATTTCTTTCTACTATTTTTGAATATTTAGACATTGTAAAATTCATGTGCAAATGACTTCCTTTTTATTTGAAAACTGATATTTTTGCATTTGATTATAGCATTGTCTGTGAAATGTTTATTTGCGAATTGACATCCCATAAATTGTGATAGTTCCGTATTCTTGGATTTTTATAAGAGTTTTTCTATACATACTAGATTGGCAATTATGCTAGAATGTCTTTACGAACTGCTACCTTTCTAAATTTGAGCCCAAAATATTTGACTGGGTATTTTTGATATGTTATTGAAAGTGACTGTTATTAATGGTTTCAGTGAAATTCATATTAATAATTGCAGTGAAATGTTGAGTACATGATATTGTTGCTTTCAAATGTTTAAAGAGATTTAGAAATACTTTAAGTATGCAAGTGGACTCATCCGGTTCGCCATTGAGGTATAAGTGGACCTATCCGGTACACCGGTAGGGATTAAGTGGACTTATTCGGTACTCCGGTGAGGTATAAGTAGACCTGCATGGATTAAGTGGACCTATCTGGGATGCTGATAGGGATTAAGTGGACCTATCAGGACGTTGATGGGGTATATAGGTGACCTACTTGGGACGCCAGTAGGGTATTTTGTGAAATCCTTTAAATTATGCACTGCCGTTAAAATGTTATATGCATTTCATTTATTCGAATTATACTTAATTATGCATTTTTGAAAGTGAAACTGTTGATTCATTTCTGTTAATAGATCTCCGTTTTGAAAATATTGATATCTTTCAACCATGATTATTTTTGGGATTATGATGATCACTTACTGAGTAGCCAAACACATCAAACTATGGTAAACATTTTTTTCAGGATAACTGCGGTTTCATTTTGAGTGCTCGTCAGGATCAACTTGGGAAGATATTGTAGTTGTGCTTAACCTTCATTTTGTTACTTTGTTAGAATTCGCCATTGTAAATTTGTCCTGTCAAGAGATGTATATATGTTTAGACCTTTATGTTAATATTAGTTATGAACAAAGTTTAATGTAATAATCCTAAGATTTCAAAAAAAAAAAAAATTAAATAAAAAGGGGTTTTGATTTTGATTCAATGCATGGTAGATATCTAAAATTGCCTTGTTTTGACTGTCACATCTCAAGAATATCAGTATTGTAAATTCTTGGGGTGTGACACACATCAATGTTGAACTTGCTATTGCATTATCAAGTGTTACTTACATGCAACCCCCCGAAATCTAGTAACTTGGCAGGCATGTATGCCCCAAGTGATATAACTAGAGGATAAATCAAAATTCACCAAGTAAGGAAGAGAGAAAGATCTAATTAAGACAATCGATATTTGAGACATTTTTGGGCCAGCTTTGTTTATAGCAATTTTTGCTCAGATTGGATTTTCCCATTTTAATTTTAATGTTAAACAGAAACCTATCAATTTCCCAAACTTTTTCCCATTTTAATTTCATTGTTAAAGAGAAACCTATCAATTCTTGCAAATGGTGATAATAATAAAAATTTACTAGCCCAACATTAAACAAATATTTCCATTTCATTAAACAACCAATGCAAGAATCAACAACAAATCGAATAAGAAAAGGGATCCAAATAAGTTTTAAACCTTCTCACATGATAATGGAATGTCCATGACAAATTTTGTTGAAGAATTCTCTTAAATTGTAAAGTACGACCAAAAGGTTCATAGGAAATTCCTCCAAAAACAGTATAAATGGCTTCTTTGAGAAATGCGAGCAAAGAGTCAATAACTTCAAAAGCTGCCTTAGGTCAGAGACTATATCAGCTCATATAAGTTGTATACAAAATCTGAGCAAAAATTGGTATAAAATTGCTTTGTATTTGAGATATTTTTTTCCCATATTTATTTATAGCAATTTTTGCTCAAATTGGATTTTCCTCATTTAGGGATTTGGGAGAGTGAAAACTAGAGGGAGAGATGGAAATAGAAGCCCCCGATGTTTTGCTTTGTATTTGGGATATCCAAGAAATGAACACAAAATATGAGCAAAAATTGTTGTAAAATTGCTTTGTAATTAGGATATTTTTTGCCTAGATTTATTTATAACAAGTTTTGCTCAGATTGGGTTTTCCTCATTTGGGGATTTGGGGGAGTGAAAACCAGAGGGAGAGATGTAAATAGAAGCCCCCAAGGTTTTGCCCTGTATTTTGGGATATTAAAGAAACAAGCACAAAATCTGAGCAAAAATTGCTTTGTATTTGGGACATTTAATTTTTTATATCAATTTTTGCTCAGATTGGGTTTTCCACATTTGGGGATTTGGGGGTTTTGGTGTAACTCGAAAGTGAAAACCAGAGGGAGAGATGGAAATAGAAGCACCTGAGAGAGAGAGTGTGTGTGTGTGAGAGAGAGATAGAGAGAGAGAGAGAGAGAGAGAGAGAGAGAGAGAGAGAGAAGAGAGAGAGA